CATGATAGCTTCCATCTCCCTTAATGTCGGCGGTTCAAATTCAACATGAGAGAGAGAGAGAGAGAGATGATACCATAGCTTCCAGCTCCCTTAGTGTTGGCAGCTGGAATTCAACATAATTACAAAAAAGGTGTATTGGCCTTCCAAGGTATATAAGCATTGCTTTTAGTTGGAGAAGTTCACGTTTTACCACGAGCAAAAAAAATTTTGACTGCAATTTTCGCCTCATTGAATTGCAAATAAGAGGCAGTTGTGGTCCTTATACAGAAGTGACGGAAGTTTATGGTACACATGCTAAACAAGTTACCAACTTTTTATTGAATTGCAAAATATCCATTAAAAAGCACATGGCCAATAGTTCGAATGCTTTCAATAGGGTTAAATTGGTAAAAAAAAATTGATAAATTTCCCCATAAATAATGGTTCTTGATTAGTTTTCTCCTGATATTCTAGCCAGGAAATTGAAATGTTTCTTCCTTATTCCGATTATATTGGTGATTTCCTAAAATACATTTTGCTTATTATTTATCATTTGTTTAGAAGAGTTTTACGTTAATGGCTGGCTCCTCTCTCACCCTCTCTAATACGTTTCTCTTTTATGCTACTTCCTTTTTTTCTTTTTTTGGGAAGAATTGGCGGTTTTCATTCCTTTTCTTTCTCAAATTTGGCATTTTTGAGTGCAAGTTTTAAACTCTTGATTTATTTTTCTAATTTATTATATGTATTGGATCTTGGATTTCTCTGCACCTTACTTGTCTTTCTCCTATATTTTATAAACAATAGTGTATATGGTAAATAGAATGTCATTATTAGAAGGGAGAAGTTTATATAGATTCAGAGGCTCTAAGCAATCAAATTGGAGCCCACCTCAAAAAAATTTAAGATGCATGGACATAAGAAAAAAGAAGGATTTCAAGTTTTGAAAATAGTGTATTTTTGGATTATCATTTTTCAAGAATTTATCAAAGTTTCATAGATCTGTTCAATCTACGCTCTTTTTGAAGTTTTAGATTTTATAATTAAAGATGAAAATATATTTTAAGACTATGAAAAAGATTTCCAATATTGAAACCCTATTTCTCAACACTATTTGAATGTGCACTATACTTTGATTGTTTAGGGCTTTGGCTCTATACAAACTGCACCTTTATTATAATAATTTTTATCGAGTATGTAGAGCATATTCTTGCTGAAGCACCCTTGGGCCACAAAGCAGCACAAGTTAGAATGATTGCTTTAGAAAAATATTCGATGTTGAGTTTCCTAACACATGATTTTGCCCTTCAAAATTTGAAAAAAGAACACTCCGTTACACGCTTGGGATGTTTTCTTTGAGCATATAGAGTTCACACTGGGGATGTTTTCTTTGAGCACGGAGAGAATGTAAGGTTCATCATCATCATTTCTTATTATTTCTATCCATGTTATTTTGAACTTTCTTTTGGCTTTTTTTAGAGCATTTCCCTTGAACTAAATCGTACTCACCTTATTGCCTATTGAAGCTGCATCTTAGTTCCCTCATGTATTTTCAAGCTCTTAAATTTTTTGTTCTTTTATTTTTTTTCCTTGTATGTGACATAATCGATCCCCATAACATTAGGGATTCTAACTTCTCTTTAATGCTTGGGTTGGACACAAAATTTACCTACCCAATGTTTATCAGCCAAAAATTTAACTAAAGTGGAAACAAACATTCGCATGTGCCTTGTATGTGTTTAGTTAAAAAGAACTCTCTTTAACCCTTTATTGACAACGGGAGCTTGCCACCTTCCTCAAGCCTCAACCTCAAGCGTGTTTGCTCTGTTTTAAACTTCTTTTTAACCATAATAAAGTCCACTGAGTCGATACGATTTTCAAAGTAGCCGATTCAGGTTAACAATCTATTTTTTAAAACCTTGATATATATATATATATAATGGGGAATGATTTTTTTCAACGGTTGTATAGTAGTATAATGTAATTGCACCTTTAGAAAGTTATGTTTTTGGCATTCATGTGGTCTCAAATTTTGCACACATTCTCTTCATCACACGATCATAGTAGTTCAATAGCATTTCAAATTATTATTTTTTCTATAAATCAAAATTACTTGAAATTTGGAGCATGTGTATTTCTTAGTGAAGTGTATTTAATAAAAATATAAAAAAACATAATTCACAAAATATAAATTAATTAAAATACTCTAAAAACTTTATGAAGCCATTTTAGTTAATTTATATATTACGAATTATTTTTTTCATATTTTTATTAAGTGCATTTCATTAAGATATACACGTTCTAAATTTCATATCATTCTCTTACCATCTAGCCGTTTAATTTTGATCAAGAGAGTTACTCACTGTTTGATATTAGATCTGATGCCTTGAAGTATTATATTTTTATTGTTTTTTATAAAATTGTATGAATATGAAATTTGGTACATGCCATCTCATTGGGGCGCACTTATAAAAAATATTAAAAATATTTTTTTTATAAAATACAATGATCAAAATACCCCTTAAGACTTTTCAGGGTATTGTGGTCATTTTATTTTATTAAAAAATTTTTTTACTAGTGAGTTTAATAGAAAGATTGGACATTTAAA